ATCCATGAAATTGAAATTTAATTCTGCTAAGTAAGAGCGTGTGTGTGTGTGTGTGTGTGTGTGTGTGTGTGTGTGTGTGTGTTTGTGTACATGTGTGTGGGAGGATGGGGGGGTATTTGTGTCCAGCTGGTGGAGTTTTATATTTCTCCCTGTGATTTATTTTTCTCAGTTTACAGTCGGCCATCAAACTTCATGGGTGAAAACTGCTCACATTGCAGAATTTCTGAGGAGAAACAGATAGTGTTTATTTGTTGGAAAATATATGAGCGCCTTATTCCCTTGCTGTCTTTCCCTTGTTGCCTCACTGTCTTCTTCAGGCTCACCCACATGCACTGACAACCACAAATAGCCTACACCCTTCCCTTACTTATTTTTGAATGTTGTGTTTCATGCAGTTTGCTGATGATCTCATCCTTTTCCATTTTCTTGTCTGTCTATGGAAGATTCCCTTTGAATCTCCACATTTATTTATGTGTATTTGCAGATGAAAGTGGAACAGCTTGTTTGATATAAAGTGTCCCACCTCAGAGAAAATAGTCTCGGCATATAATGTTCCATAGCTCAAAGACTAAACTTGGTAGTTTCTTCCTGACCTTACTTCATTCATTTTTGATTCATGCTTTGCATGTTTGCTGTGCGTGCAGTCTGAGGTCAGTCCAGTTTTCATCTATCACTTCACACTCAGGCAGCTCCAGTCTTCAAAGACTGACACAACAAGCTAAACAAGTCTTCAGGTAGATGCTGTGCTCCCATGCAGCTACTTGGCTCCTTTCCTGGTGAGCTTTTCTTCCAGAAGCTGTCACAGCCGTTATTAAGGCTGCAGAGAAAATTTGTTTTGTACACGCTGTCACTAAAAAACCCAGAAAATTAACAGAGTTACTTGGCTCTGTGATAAGTCTAAATTAATTCCAACTCGTTGCTTAAAAATGCACAGTTAATTTTCTTTAATCATTATCAATGGATCAGATGACTAAGTATAATTTGAAAAGGGTTGCTTATTGTGACAAAATCACAGAGAATCATCACCCTACAGGAACCTTTTCTTTGACAAAGCTTTTTAACTTTTTTTAACTTGTTCAGTTCTCTGCAAATTTACATTTGGTTCTGTCTCAGTAATATCATCAATGTTGTTTCCAGAAGAAGCAGACAGGTGTATCAGGCAGGTGTATCAGACAGGTGTATCAGGCACCAAACAGCAGAGCGACAAACTTATCAACTAGCTGGTGTACACAGTGGGGCATAAAGGGTCAATTGTGTTTCTCTGGAGTTGGTAGAAACCAAAAACAGTGCAAAAAGAGGAGTGAACATTGATCAGGTAACAGAATTTCAAATGAATGCTAATGTTGCTTTTGGAGTGGCACGTGGTGGTTAGCTCCTTTGCCTCACAGAAAGAAGGTTCTGGGTTTGAATCTCGGGCCTGGGTCCTTTCTGTGTGGAGTGTGCATGTTCTCCCTGTGACTGTGTGGGTTCTTCCCGGGTGCTTCCTCCCACAGTCCACAGACATGCACAATAGGTTAATTGGNCTTTTCTTTGACAAAGCTTTTTAACTTTTTTTAACTTGTTCAGTTCTCTGCAAATTTACATTTGGTTCTGTCTCAGTAATATCATCAATGTTGTTTCCAGAAGAAGCAGACAGGTGTATCAGGCAGGTGTATCAGACAGGTGTATCAGGCACCAAACAGCAGAGCGACAAACTTATCAACTAGCTGGTGTACACAGTGGGGCATAAAGGGTCAATTGTGTTTCTCTGGAGTTGGTAGAAACCAAAAACAGTGCAAAAAGAGGAGTGAACATTGATCAGGTAACAGAATTTCAAATGAATGCTAATGTTGCTTTTGGAGTGGCACGGTGGGGCAGTGGTTAGCTCCTTTGCCTCACAGAAAGAAGGTTCTGGGTTTGAATCTCGGGCCTGGGTCCTTTCTGTGTGGAGTGTGCATGTTCTCCCTGTGACTGTGTGGGTTCTTCCCGGGTGCTTCCTCCCACAGTCCACAGACATGCACAATAGGTTAATTGGTGAGTCTAAAGTGCCCATAGGTGTGAATGTGAGTTTGACTGGTTATTTGTCTCTGTATGTCGGCCCTGTGATGGACTGGCAACCTGTCCAGGGTGTACCCCGCCCATGACCCTATAAGGATAAGCGGTATGGATAATGGATGGATGGATGTTGCTCTTTGTCTGCTCTGAGGATCAGCCATAAGAACTACATGATGTGTAATTTGTTGATATAATTTTAGTGTTGAGCAGTTTGTTCCACTGTCACAGAATAGCCAATAAATTAATTAATTAATTAGCTTTCACTTTATTATGTGTCCAATACTAATAACATATGTCATATCCAGTATGCAGAAGAAATGTAGAAGATGTACAGGTAGATTAAGACTAGCTTGATTCTGGCCTAACTTCTGATGTACAGGACAAAGGAATATCAGTCTCGGATGCTAATTTGATGATGAACTCAAGCTTATCTAAATTAATAATTTTTATTCAGTTGAAAAATTCTTTTAAAAAATGTACAAATACATTTGAAAAATAATATTTTTCAAATATAATTTACGAAAAATAAGAGATAATATATGAATAATAACATAGATAATATATAAAAAATAACATTTTTGAATGTTTTCTTTACTGTTACTGTGGTAACTTCAGCTAGAAAATAATCACTCGACAAAGTCTTGGCCGTATTTGCACTTTATATAAGGATGGCGAAATGAACTTTACATCCAGAGCTAATCTGTAGACATCTCTGTCGGCGGAAGATCAAGCATACAACAAAGCCCGGGGCGGAATAGTACTTCAAAATAAATGCAACATATGCAACATCGACCCCTGGTGGGTGCATAGCTCTTATTCTACTTATTGTAATCTTATTCTGATAAGGACTAACTTAACTTAATAATGTTCACATTACAACAGTTACAGTCTCAAATCTCAAAACAAAAATCCCTGACTAATTAACACATAGGTAGGACGCTTGAACTGTTGAAATTACTGGTCCAGTGTTTGTAGATCTCGACAAAATGAGCATCGGTAAAAATAGATAAATAAAAAGAAAGAAAGAATTGTAATCACCTCATGTTGTGTAAAGTTTTGGAGCCAAATCGTATCATGAGTGAGTGAATCACATTGATTTATCCTCCATTAGTCATTCAGAAAATGTGCAAGGATTTAATGTATTTTGCAGTCCCATTACCTTCAATGCTTTGTGTGAGATAGAAACACACTCAATGAGCATTCAGGTGTCCCACAAGCTTCAATAAGCATTCAATGGAAGATAATGATCAGATTTTTATTTTGGAGTGAAGCGTTCCTTCAACCTTGGTTTATCCAGGGAGGATTGAACAAACACTTCTTCAAATGCTTAAGTCTGATGAAGAGGACTAAAAACATCTTTTGATTGTGCCGTGGTGTGTGGGTCCATGTGCCTTCATGGAGGTGCAGCCCCACATTTATGAGGCTTTTTTGGTGTCTGCTTGACAACTAAACACAAGCCCTTCTGCCAAACAAATGGGGACTGTGCTCGGGAGAGGGGGCGGCCCAGGCCCAGACTGCAGAGATGGGCACTCTTTGACAGCTGCTTTCATCTCGTTATTATTCCTCCTTCACACTCAAGGATTTTTGGGCTTCCTAAAGTATTTCTGTCGCTCTCTCCTTCCTCTCCCTCCTCCTAACCCCCCATTCTTCCTCTCTTTCTGTCACCAGGCTGTGATTGGCTGTTATGACAGAGCCATCGCCAGGCTGTCAGCCTCTTATAAAGCTCAGTTTAATTACTCCTTTTCACTCTCATGACACATTCATGCACAGATGCAGGCAAAAACGCGCACACACACAGGAAAGTCACTCACAAACATACCATGCAGACACACAGACCTGTGTGCTCAGCTGTGTGCCGCGTCGTCCTGGCAAAAAAAAACCGTGGTAACTGAACTTTCCGTCCCTCTGCTGACAGAGCAGAGCCCCAGATGTTTCAGTGTTGTGTTTCCCTGCTGAGCTTTGAAAACATATCATAGCAGGTGAAGGTTTGGCCTCTGCTGGGTTTGATGGGCACCGATCAATCACGCCCCACGCGGCATCCAGCCTCCGAATAGCCAATTAAAACCACTGAGACCGAGGAGAGAATGGGGGGTTATGTGAAGGAGTGGGAGTTTGATTAGAGAGGGATGATGAAAGAGAGAGGAGGAAAGATGCAGTGGTGGTTGCCATAGTTGGTAAATGTTTAATATTCTGTGTGGTAAACGTCACATTGATCACTCTCTCTGTCCTCCCCCCTCATCATTCCTCCACATAAAGATTTCCTGACGGATGCGTTCAGCCATGCCTCCATAAACAGAAGAAAGCAGTGCAGTGGGTTGCAACCTTGACTGATGGAGGGAAGCTAAGACAGATGTACAGATTTGCTAGAAATGAAGGGGAACAATGAGAAAACCTTGTCGCATGTGAATGCCAAGCCATCTGGGATGGGTTTCATGCCGTCCTCAATTTTCCTTCTCCTCCTTGTCTCTCCCCACGCCGCCTGTCACCCCTCTCTTCTTCATTTCCTCTCCCCTACATCTCATGTCTCTGTCTCCCCTGTCCATGTCCTGATGTCTCCTTCCATTTTCTATTTCCTCCTCTCACTGTCACTCCTCCTTTTTTTACACCTCTCTTTTGTTCTTTATATCTTTCCCTCTGTCTTGCCACATTGTGCCTCCTCACTACATCTCTCTCTGTCACTCCCCAATCACTCCCGTCTTCTTCTTCTATTATTTTTCTGCCTTACCTTTTTTTTCTTCTTCTTTCCTTTTACCACTTTCCACTTCACCTTCTTTACTTTCAATCCTCTTTTCTTTAACATCTCTCCTTTCTTCTTTATACCTTTCCCCTTTCTCTTGCCACCTTCTCCCTGTCACTCCCCAATTACTGTCTTCTTTTTCTTTTATTTACCTGCCTTAACTCTTTTCCTACTTTCTCCCCTCCTCCTTTACTTTCACTCCCCTCCCTCCCCCTCTCCTCCTTTGCAGGTACCCTGCCCTATGACATCAAGATAGTAATTGCAGGGAACCACGAGCTGACCTTTGACCAAGAGTTTATGGCTGACCTAATCAAGCAGGACTTCTACTACTTCCCCTCTGCGTCCAAGCTGAAGCCAGAGAACTACGAGAACGTCCAGTCGTTGCTCACCAACTGCATCTACCTGCAGGACTCTGAGGTCACCGTGCGTGGCTTCAGGATCTACGGCTCCCCCTGGTGAGTGACCACTACCGCTGCACTGGACACAAAACAACCACAAAGCAGAACACCTTGTACTGAAGAACGTACCTGGTTGAGTTTTTTTACTCTTGTAATTATTATTGTCACCAGCTTCTGTAGAAGTAAAGCATCATTTAAATACTACAATATATTTGGCCTTTTGTTTCAAGACTGCAAGTGCAGCAAAGTCATGACAGTAGTATCCTGCAACTACAGCGTCCTCAAAGCTACATTTCTCTGTGACAGTGTTTTGCGTGGGAGTGGTCAGGTGACAGAGCCAGAGGCATATTGTTTTCGGGGACACAATATCTCAGAAATGCCTAGACAGAACTTCTTCAAATTTGGCACAAACATTCACTTAATTAAGGGTGAACCTATTAGATTTTGGGGGCTCAAAGGTCAAAGTTCAAGGTCATGGTGACCTCATGTTCATGTGAATACAATATAATGGAAACACCTAGAGGGAATTTCATCACTTCTGTCACACTGTGACTTCACATAACACGTTTCGGCAAATGTCTATGAGGATAAATGAAATGATTTCATATCCAAAAAGTCAAAGGTCAACTTCACTGTGACATCATAATGTTCTGCAAAAATATCTCTGGCTGTTATTCAACACTGTAACTCAGGAAGAACAGACTGTGACCATATTTCCTGACACTTGGCTGGTTGGTGGAGGAAACAACCAGGAGGAGGAGATTCTAGTTTTCCTTTGGATCTGTAGAGAACATTTCCCACAGGTGACCACAACCAAGTCCTGAGAGTGATTCCCTACAAAAGTCAAAATAAACTGTGTCCTGCAACACTGAATCATTTGACATGCATCATTTGATGCCCATGTAGCACATAGCAGACAGAAGCATTTTAACCCTGTGAAAAGGGACAATGGGATGATGCATCCCTATATAAAATACAGGAGCCTCCAGTCTTTGGTGTGTGTTTTACACCACCAGAGTGTGTTATCATTTTGAGGTTATGTTCACCAGTAGGTGATTTATAGGAGAGTTTCAGCAGATCTAGTTTGGTGTGTATAAATTTAAAAGTGCATTTATTGTGAAGGTACAGGAAGTCAGCTTGAGTCCACAGCTACTCCTCTCACTGAAAAAAAAATATATTCAAAGCACCTTTTTGATCACAAAGATGTTCATATAACATTTCATATGCCTGTAGCGTTAACACCATAATTTAAAATTTACTCTCGTTGAAATGGGGCACCAGTCCTCTGGGAGGACAACAATGAATTACTTCATTGATAAATTTATCTCACTTTATCTCATATTAGAAGCCATGACTTCTCGATTCAATGGATCTCCAGTCTCTACATCAAAAGAATACCACAGGACAACAACGGAGTGAAAATAAAGGAGTTTATTAACTAAACTACTCTCTACAGAGTAAATGCAAGGTGTAATAATCATAAAGATGATTATAATAATGAAATGAGCAGTGTGATGAGTTGGCAATGGTGGGAGAGAATATGTTATGGCTATACACTATGGCTATACAGCTAATGATCACTACGTCTACGAATGAGATTTGGTAATTAAATATTACTATATTTTGACATCAACCCAGTCATGAGCAGAGTGTTAAGACCGGCCTACTGTGAGTTGCGCTGTAGCTGAAGACTCTTGGCTGGAACCCAGGTGGCTGTGGTTGCCGTGGTAACCCTGGAGACACGGGATCTAGGTGGATTCTCCCAGAGGCCGTGTTCCGTTATCAGGGTGACGGATTCTGCCAGTGTCTCAGCGGTTCAGCTCTGGTGGGGTTTGCCAGGAGACTTTCTGTCTTGGGCACTCTTGATTTTTGGTCGGCTTCTCTGCAGGCAGTCGTGCATGGGCAGATATGTTACCTGCCGGCATCTCTTGCGGGTTGATGCGAAATAAACTCTAAGCCACTTCACTTTGGCTGGATAACTTTAGAGGAGACTAGCGTTGACTAGATGACTCTAAAACTCTCAAAAATCTTCAAAAAGGAAAACTTGATGATAATTAAAAGTTACAAATTTACTCTGAGGCACTTCTGTTGTTTTGGTTCAGTTGGTCTTGACTTGGCTTATAAAAATAAATGATCGTGCATGTAGACAAAAGAATGTTACTTGGAGCTTGTGGCAAAGAAAGAATAAAGGACGTGGACAGAAACGATGTGCAAAAATGGTGAAGAGCCTTGGCTAAGAGTTTGGAAATACATAGCTACAGAGCGACTGGGCAAAGTTTTTTCAGCTTCTCGCTCTAGCAATGTGTGAATTGATCACAAGTGTTTTATCCCCTGGGGGCTGGCGCACGTTTCAGGGGCATCACCAGTCTTCTCCTGTGTTTCAACTTAAAGAAGAGAGTAATTTTCCAAGGAACTTTTGAATAGTTTAATTCTATAGCTTACCTATAAACTCGCACATCTGTCTTCCACCATGAACATAAAACATTAAATGAAATAACATATAAACCTAATGGCACTAATAATGACAGACAGGAATAATACAAGTGTGGATTTCATATTACATCCTTCAAACCTGGAATCAATCATAATACAAGTGGTTAACTGATCAAACAACAATACAAACATTTCCTAAAGCTAATAGTCTATAAAGGTAGATTACAAAGCAGTTCTTTGACTGTAATAATAATAATATGGACATTCTGGATGTCATGTAGTGTGTGTGTGTGTGTGTGTGTGTGTGTGTGTGTGTGTGTGTGTGTGTGTGTGTGTGTGTGTGTGTTCATGTATGGCACAGGGAGGCCAGGATTCACACCTTAGTGATACTCATTCCTTTTGGTGTTATTTGTCCTATATAAGAAACAATCAAATATCATTAGACAGAATCTTATTGTTACAAACTGGGGATATTTCCTATGTTCTCCAGCTGCCTGGTGTCCATTGGTTGATCCTCTGGAGCTGACCCTTTGATCCTTGGTCTGATTCTGTGTTCCTTTTGGCATGCTAAAAGCATGGTCTATTTGTGGAAGAGGGGTCCTTTGTCTCTGTTTCCTATCAATTTGATAGTTTGATGGTGGGAAGAGTAACACAGTGTCAATTGTGGGTCCTTTACTCTGCATGTCCTTATAATGAACTTCTTTAATGGCTTGTGACTGATGCCAGGCCAGGTATGTCCGCTACATGCCACAGCATCCTCCTCTAAACTGTGAGTCTACGTTCCACTAGGTAGGAAAGGCCATTTACATGATCAATCAATGATAAAAAAATAAATCAATTATATTAATTATATAATTTTAAAAATAAAGTCAAGGTAATCATCAACCACATCTTGTTCAGTGTTTCCTCAGGATGTTGTGAGTCTGTGGTGGGTGTACCTTGGGGGCCTGCTCCCCCAGAAGAAACATTTGTACATTTTAAAGTTTAGTTTTTTAGTTTTTTTAGATTTTTTAATTTCTTTATTTAAAATAGACAGAAAATGACAAATAAAACCAAAAGCATACTGTGCAGGGAGAGGCAAAAAGCCCAATGGGCTTATTTAAAGCCTCCACCTAAGTAATGTTGAAATATTATTAAATGAACATACAAGAAAATAACGTGACTACACAAAAATAATGAGAAACTATATAATAGATTATAGATTATAAATTATATGTATAAGTATATAGTATAGTTATTATATAGTGGGAGAGTTATATACTATATATATATTATGTATAGTATATCACTAAATAGCAATAATAACAATAATATCAAAATAAGAACAGAAAATGTGAGAATGTCTTAGTTTAACTCCATGAGCAGTAGTAATATTGTATGTCAATATGAGCAAAACAAAAAACCATTCATAAAATTAAAAAAAGTTAAATGTTTAAATCTAATGAGCAAACTTAGATCTTTGAAGGACTTTGTGCCCTTGTGAACAGTTTTGTGTTTTATCATAAACACATTTGTTGTATAAATATCAGCAGTGATGACACGACAATAAAATCACACTGGTGAGAGTATAACACAGTTCACAAATGGTCAAAGCACAAACTCAACCAGAGCACAATACTGTATCTGAGCCATCAGAGGTGGTGACCTGTGTTCAACTGGTTTGTAGTTTAGAAAATAAAAGATATTCTGGATGAGGAGATACATCGCTGTTTCCTGTTTAACTTTGTTGTAAAGAAATTTAAGCTCTTCACCACAAACAGACTCATTCTGGAGCCAAACCAAGCTGTTGACATGGATGAGTGATCTCAGGACATTGTTTGAAACTTATGAAACATATGTAGTATTTAGTACTTACTCCATCTCCTACTGCACTGAACTTTCAGTGATTCCCTCATTCTTAAACCACTTTGGATGAAAGCGTCTGATAAATGAGTGAATGTAAATTAAAAGTCCATATTTCATGAAGAGGGGCCTTTAATACACATTTATTATCTATAATAGGTGGAGGACATGGACATCCACATCCCTATTAGAAAACGTAACACCCTGAATTTGGACATTTAGTTACCTGGGCTTTGAGAAAAACAGTTGTTGTGTGTGTCTGCAGGTTAAAGTGTATCTTCTGTAAAGGCCAACTATAAAGAAACGGAAATTATTGTCATAGATTTGTCTTTACAAGTAAGTATGACAGGGAGGTGTACAGTGAGTTAAGGTTTATTAACATTAGGAAATTTCCGAACAGGTAAGGATAAAGAGAGAAAAAAGTGAATTAGGTTCAGGGTAGTGGCATTTGATCCTACTGCAGAAGAATGACTGACTCTGACTAAAAATTTAAATGAACATTTATATGAACACTGAGTTATAATTATGATATAGTTTATATTGAGGAACACGGCGCCCCCCCTTCATGTAGTTGCTTTTGAAGGACTGTCACTGCTCGAGCATCAAGGTCTCCTGAGAGAGAATCCTTTAACCAGATTCAGATTCTGGAACCTACATTCCAGGTGGTGTATCAGGCCTTGATTTAAGGACTGACAAAAAACAATTAGCAAAAAACACAATTTGACTCCCCCAAACTATCTAAGGCTCTCTTCCAATGAATTAATATGCCTTAATTTAAAATG